TGGTGAAGTATCCTTTAAATCTTAAGGTATCAGCGCTGCACACATTCCCAGGTTTTAGGACTCATTCCCAGGTTTTATGTTATGCTTTCCTGAGATTTTTTGTTTATTTTGTTGGTGAAATACCCTTTAACTGTTAAGGTATCAGTGCTGCATACATTCCCGTACTCACTTCCTCTTGCGGGCGACGTCACAGGACCCCAAAGACTGAGCGTTGCTTTCTCTCGACGTCTCTTTGAGCTCGGGGCCCCTGAAGCGGTCGAGGAATGAGTCGCGTCGCTCCACCTCGGGGTGAACTCTGTGAGACGCCCAGTTCCACAGCGTGAAGAAGAAGTAAGAGAGCCTGGGAGGTTAGTGGGGGGAGAGAGGAGCAAAGTGACAGCCGTCTAGTCTATCGGGACAGGAAGTGTACATACTAGAGGTGGAGGAGGTAATCACATCTTATACTTGTATACCAATACTACGTCTCTACTAGTCAAAATACTACAACAATGCCAAAACACTTACAACGTAAAGTCTTTCAATCAAATTTCTGCCTAAGTTTACAGTCCATCGACAGGTAAAATAATTCCCATCTATTTTGATATTTGATTAATCGTGTAATATTTCATGTTATTGTTATTTTTATCGTTGCTTTGCTTTTATTGTTGACAATTGAAAATATTACATTTTAGGGTTATAGGCAGTTTTTTTCCCCCATTAATTAAAAAGGAGCAATCTACTCTACCTGAACAGGATGTATATACCAGAGGTGGAGGATGTGTAATGTAGAATAGAATAAAGATACTCAGGTGAAGCACCTCAAAATTGCGCTTAAATGAACTTTCAGTGACTTTCCACCTCTGGTAAATAGTGATTTCTAACTACAGGCACATTTTAATGAAGTTTACCTGGCCATCGCCCCGGATCCTGTGAAGGAGTTTCTGTGAGAATCTGAAGACAGCGCTCTCTCCGAGATATCTTCACACAGAGAAGCCCTGTGAGATGCCACAAATATATATTATTATATTATTATGATTTGATGAGGCTCTGAAAGATACAAAATGTGTTATCAGAACAGATATTTCACTCTTAGGCCCCGTCCACACGGAAACTAAACGGGTGGTATCCGCTATAGGTCTTTATCGTATGGACGGTTCGTCCACACGAGGCCGTAACTGAGCCCTCAAACATAACGCATCCCAAAGTGGGAAGGTTTGGTAACGTAACGCTTGCGGCACCGTGTGTACGCCCTAAACGATCATAGCCCCGCCTCTCCCCACCTCTCCTGCTCACCCCCGCGTCATCCGCGTGATTGCTGATGCGTTTCGCCAACAACAACAACAATGGCGGATCACAGGGTTGCGTTCGTGCTCCAGACGCTACTGACCATGATACAGATGTTAGGGCAAAATCTACAGCTCCTCTACCACAACCATCAGCAACAAGTGGACATGGAGAACTACATGAACTACATGTTGCTAAATCCACCGCGGAGAGAAGGCCAACCAGGCAACCATGGCAACCATGCTCGGGGGGTCTTCTTCGCTGCTTTTGGTGTGCTTTGTGGCGGAAGTACAGCGCCACTTACAGGCCCAGCATATGTACTACTATATGTCTTGTGTGTACGGACACGTTTCTTTCGATTCCGTGCGGACGGAAAACTTTTTTGATATTGACCTCGGTTCGTTTTCGTTTTTGTCTCCGTGTGGCCAGGGCCTTAGAAATCAATGCAAAAGGTAGGATAATAGTTTTAAATAGCAGTTTTTAAGAGCATTACTTGAATTTGCATCAGATACAAAAACCATCTCAGAAATATGACGGTTTTGCAAAATTATTATTATTACGTCCAGAAGTTTTTGTTTTCAGCTCAGTTTGTCTGTCTGTCAACAGGATTACAGAAAAACTACCGCCCATGATTTCCATGAATGAAAATCAACTCTAAAACAGATATCAATATGTTGTTTATATACTCGGAGTAATGCAATTCAACACTTCCTCCTTTTTGCATCCCTGCTCTATCTCCAATACGGCTTTCGCTGCTGCGGCCCTGTTATAATCGGAAGAGTTTCAGGGTGATATCAGACCTGCTTTCTCCATTTTCGATGACGGCGAGCTCGTCATCAGTGTTGGACAGCCGCTGTCTGGAGGAGAAAAGCTTTCTCTCACTGCCGGTTTTTGCCATGTCGCCGTGTCTGGCTCTGATGGCCCTGCAGCACACAACACAGAGAAAAGGCAACTTTACACATCACATTTTACATATATTTTTAGTAAGGAATTTAATATTTGTGGTTCTTGTATTAGCACATTTGCCCTTTTTGTTAAACACGCTCGATTGAGTGGCCTATTTTGACTTTAGTTAACCTGATTACATTTCTTAAACAAAATACATTTCTCCTACTCTTCAACTTCACACTTGTTAGTCAGAGCGAACCATTACGTCAGTAAACATTTCCCCAATGAGTGTTTGCTCAATCGTTAGCTTTAAGTCTTCTTCAATACAGCATGGTGTAAATGTAGTAAATTGTGGTCTAATTTTAAATACAAAAGTCAACAAAGCAGTGTATGTTTGAGTGTAAAGCTAACTTGTGATTGACAGGTGGCTTTACCATGGTGTTGCCTGTGTTTTTATCTTACAGCAGTATACAATAACATTACAATAACTTTTCAACCAGGGGACAAAATGCAGTAGATTCCAGTCAGTCAGATCCGCAGAAAAGACAGGAAGTAAAACTCCAGTTATGATTAAATAAACTAAACCACCTTTTTAAAAAAAGTCAACTTATAACTAACTGCTTTTCAACAAGCAAACTTAGCTGCCTAAGGAACTGCTGAGTAACCTAACAAACAACATGCTAATTGAGATGCTAATCGGCCTGCTAATTAGCCTGCTAACTGCCTAATTTATGACCAGCTGACCAACCTAACAAACAACACGCTAACTGAGATGCTAATTTTCCAGCTAAATAGCATGCTAATCGCTACTCAACCTGCTAACTGCCTAGTTTATGACCAGCTGACTAACCTAACAAACAACATGCTAACTGAGATGCACATTTTCCAGCTAAATAGCATGCTAATCGCTAATCAACCTGCTAACTGCCTAGTTTATATCCGGCTGACTAACCCAACAAACAACATGCTAACT